TACTTAAGTTTCCAGTGAGGTATTCTAGAGCCAGCAAGATTATAGTTATAAAGAGAATAAAAAGTGGCCATAACATCCACTATTCGCAACGAAGGAGTGGTAAAACAGAGAGCTTACCTCAGTGCTGAAGGTTACATCATAGCCAAGTTCCGAAACGTCGTGCTTTAGGAGAAATTCCAGGCCCTTGTAAAAGTCGTAGTCCTCGCTCTCCAAATCAACAAATCTACGCAAGTCAGTATAAAAGGAAAACATATAGATTGGGTCATCGCATAGAGAAGGCTGCTGAGGAAATAAAGGTCAAACAGATAAGAAATAAAAGTACACTCCCTACTTAAAGCGACATTAAGCAGCTTACCTCACACGCACACCAAGCATGTGTTTGTAGAACGATCGCGTGAAATAGCACTCGAGCAGTTTGTTGTCGTAAATGGCCTTCGCGATAAAACGACCAACAAATTTGAAATAGCTCAGATGGTTGCTATTAATAAACGAGGCTGGGTTGATAGTATAGGTGACCCGGTCAGCCGGAGATACGCGGAACAGACAGTAGTTAGGGTTGAAGATCTCTCGGCTCATGAGGAGATACCATTCTCTCAGCAGACCGCCGGCATCTTGACCTTCTTCGTCTGAAGACAAAAAAGGCAGAAAGATAAAGGGTGCAAAGTCCACAGCTTAAAAAACTCAACAAAATCCAATAACTGCGCAGGGGCCACGTACTCTGGAAACGAATTACAAACTTGTGCTTCCATTCCTCTGCTGACTTTCGATGGAGTCTTGCATAACTGTCCTCGAATATGCGGCCACGAGAAACCACAACCGGCTCATCTTCAAATCGGCTGACCGACCCGTCGCGGTTGGCTATGGCTTGCAAGCGTTGACGGAAGAAACGACGTTTGATGTCGAAGTCCAAAGCCCGGGGATAGGAAAGAAAGGCCACAAACGAGGACTCGCTGAGGTTGCCTGAGAAATTGCGAAGAATATGGTTGAGACTGGTGCGATGTGTTTCCGCCAGGCGAGCAATTGGTGAGTTGGCAGTCTCGGCTGTGGTGGTGTCGGTTGCAGTATTTACATTAAGCAACGGTGGGGACATGGGCCTGGTAAGATCTATGGGTGAAGCAGGTTCAGCATCGACAGGGGTGGAGTTCTGACCGAAGGCGGGGCTAGTGTTTGTTATCGGAGGCAATTCGTATAAGTCAGTTTCGGGTGGCAGGAGGTTGGGGATAAAGGAGATGCCTGAAGGCACGGCGCCAATCGTAGACACACGCGGCAGTCGACGAGCAGTACCATTTTCTCTCAGAACGGTAGAGTGCGCCAAACAGAGTGACTCGACCAGGGGTTGTAGGAGGAGCACGGTATTAGCATCGTCTGTGGTCTCGAGACAGTCCAAGGTCTGGCTTAGATCCTCCCATAGCTGGGACAGGCCATCGATGGACTCCATTGTGACCTTTGTGGGAGCGTCATTGGCTGCAGTACCCTCATTGCCACAGGAGAGCATGTGAAGAATGAGATGGAGGACACAGCAAAGACGCGACTGCTCACTGCGAGAAGTAGTCAGAGGTTGCAAGGAAGACAGTTCCAGTTCACCAGCCGTCGGTGGCGGCGGCACTGAGGAGGAATTGGCAACTGATGCAACCAAACTGGGAGCAAGAAAACGGTCACTACTTGAGCCTGCCGCATTAGAACCTTCCGCTGCATCTGACACACTGGAGAGACGGGTCATTGAAGCACTCAGCGGTATTGTGGTCTTTGGGTCGGAAGGCGGAACTACTTTGTTAGCGGGCGGAAGCCTGTCCACCTCAGTAATCACGGCCTGAAATAAAACAAGAAAAGTTAGCCGTAGAGAAGCGTGGAGACATTGCAGAGCACGTTTAGGATTTTCAACCCAGTAACCCCTGCATTTGAAAGTTCGTAGGCCCCAACCTTCACTAACCCAGAAGCACATAAATAGTAATAGCACAGCTAAGAGGTCCTTTTAAAAAAGGGCTGGGATTTAACAGGCTAAAACAAAATAGTGCTAACTTCGAATTGAGCGCGAACGGGTGCCCATGACTACTCTCTCTTCACTAAGTAACTCAGTTTGTGATTATAGTGGCGGTCTTATTGTTGACAATTCGGACATGCTCGAGCGCTGGCGTGAGCATTTTGGGCACCTCCTCAATGTCGATACCGAACCCAGTACCTACTTACTCCCATCTACAGCGGAGCCTCTTCCCTCTCTTACTTATCCAGTGTCTTCAGAAGGAGAAACCGCCGACGTCATAGAAGGGCGGCAGAAAAAACAAGACACCTGGGAAGAATGGTATACCCGCTGAAAGCTAAAAGTCTTGTATGGACACTGGCGCCTTGACTCGATGAGGTGATTGAACAAGCGTGGAGAGACGAGGCTGCTCCTATTGACTGTGGCTCAGGTAACCTTGTGCCTCTCTACAAGATGGGAGACAAAACGAGATGCGAGAGCTACCACGACATAAGTCTTATTCACGTTGCAGCGAAGTTCTTCGCTATTGTCTCTCTCAGGCGATTCCAGTCTGTGCGTGACTCTAGGACGCGGCCCAACCAAACCGGACT